TACGTATTATATATCGTGCGTCTTGTTATTTATCATGTCATATAGGTATATGTTATATAAAATACCAATGGCGTAACCAGGACTTTACATTGAGGGGGGGAGCTAATATTTTATTATATTTAACCGTTTAGGGAACGAACCTCAACTGGTAGATGCTTACATTTATATAATTTACAGTTTTAGAATTTTACATAAAAAATATGCATATAAATTTAAATATTTCAAAATAATATAGATACTTACGCGAAAAATTCTAAATTTAGCTTTGAGTCAATTTAAATTTTCAAATATACCTATCTCTGCCAGATTAACACTATGTAAACAGGAATCTGGCAATTTGTCAGTCTAAAATATTTTTTCGACTTATATATGTATCCTTGGTCAGGACTCAGGGCGCGTCTTAAAGATTAATCGATATTCAACTATAATAACTATATATAAGAGTATTTTTGTCGATTCAACTTCCACATTTATAGTATATTATATGCATATCACCATATATTTAAGAAATACTGCTGTTTGTATGTACTGAAGATTATTCAAAATGTATTGATCGAGTACACGGACTTTACGTACCTACACAAGCCTAACTAATATAAATAAATTATAGTCTTTAAAGTCTTTCTTTCTTATTGTATTTTCGGTGACGATTAAAACCAAGAATATCATATATTATGTGTAATTTTACTTATGTAGGTATAATGCCTATATACTCGTATGGTTGGGAAATTGTATCCATTTACCGTGCAGACATTACATAATAATGTATCTATAATATTTATATAAAATCTATTATTAGATATATTTTTCATTTTTGTCCTTCGCTTAGGACAGATTAACTCGTTGTTTTACTTATGTTGACGTGTTGTATTTGTATATACGAAAATCCTGACTGTGTAGGTATAGGGACTATAAAGTAGTAGTGCACATAGATATAATCAGCAATTGGTATAGTACTATTGAATACATACAACATTTCTAAGTTTTTAATAAAACTTCTTGATATATATAGTCATTTAATTCTTATACCTATGTGCTACGTTCTACACTTCTATACAGGTAAATACAATAAGTATTGTAATTAATACACAATTTATCGACCCACTCGAAGGAGCCATATCTTCGTTTAAATGACTTTGTGTTTCTGTCACAATACAAAATTGTATAGTTTCTGTCTGTGGCACCATCAGATTATCTCATGTGCTGTATACTTACTTCTAATAATAATTATTAATTAATATCACCTATATAATATATTATTATTTTATGAAGAAATCGATGATGTGGATGATTCTAAGCAGTTTTATTTTTTTTTTGTAATAAATAATAAATAACTTATTTATGGTTTACAAGAGTCTACGTGTAAGTTTTTGCTGTAAATTCGTTTAAGCTACACTCGTGAGTTTTAATAATAATAATATAATATCCCATCGCTGAAAGTGGCGCACTCGGATCGCACACGTCGATCCCATCTGAGTTACGCAATATACGCTCACAGATAGCGTTGCGCATATGCAGAGACACTCGGTGAGAATTATTCAGCGACATGTTCTATTTATTATTATTGTATTTCGTCGTTTGGTAAATTTCTGTCACCCGAAATCGTATTATCAAATATTAATATTATCTTCTATTTCCATTTTTCTGGCCTAACAGATTTTCAATAGTACCTAATAGGTATTATAATCTATCTATAATTAATAATAATAACTATTAATGTGATATAGGAATAGGAAGTACAATGAATAATTTTATAGAACCCCATGAGTTTTCTATTTAAAAAAGTTTTTTTTTCATAACAGTAAAAAAACATTTACAATATGGATGTATTAATATAAAGTCTATGTCATATTATTTATGTACATATTATTAGTGAAATAAATAAAATATCAGTTTAATGACATTTATCAAGATAGTTTTCATTATTTATTTATGTAAATAGTATAGACGTTTAGTATATGAGTATATAGTAAGTTTATATAGCTCTTGCAGTATATATAGCGTACAATATATATGTATACGTTTAGGTTGATACATTAATATATATATATATATACAACGAGCTATAATCTGTTCCACCTTTGTTACCAATCTTATTTGTTGTAGTATTAAAATATATATAGCCTATATGCCTTTAAATTATCATCACCTGCAATTTCAATGACAAAATCAGTTTTAAAACGCTCAACATCACTGTGTAAGTAAGCATCTCAATATATACGTATATGATATAGTTTATACTTACTATACACACATCACTATTTTATGAGTAGTGTTGCAAATTTCAGTATGTATTACCATGAGAGAGAGATCATATTATTATATTATACGACGCTCGTATATATATATATATAGACAGTATATCGATGTTCCTATTAAAATATCAGGAAATACAGAATCCTTTATAGTTACCTAAATATATATATTAGCCGTGTATACTTATTTATTGTACCGGTAACTAAATATATGAATTACCCTTCACGACGAGATAATATAACTCTTTTTTATTAAATAAACCTACCTACCTCCACATTATATAGATGAATCCGCGGTAAATATATTGATTTTCGTATTCTCCTCTCCACGTCAACCGCGTTGCAGACATCTAACATATAATATGCGTATTATTCTGCAAGCCGATTTCGATTTTCTCTATTTTCTTATAATGTTATTATATAGCATATAGGTATATCTTGGAAATGCTTCTATATACCTAATACGTATACAGGATGATTCTTTAATCGCAATATATTATTTATATGTAGAAAATATACGTTTTTGAAAAAGTTTTTCTATATTTGTGTACCTAATTTAAAACCAATATTACAACAAGTTTATATAGATACGCGTGTATAGTATTTACAGAAAATAATTAAATAATAAACAATACAAATTAAATATTATTTACCTACTCTCCATTCACCGCTATTTCATACATAATAATATACAATTTATAAGTACACTTAACAAAAAAAAAAATAAATAAATAAATAAATAAATAAAAGTAATAATAAATAAAAAATATATTTGTCATTTTTCATACATGTATAATGTATACTTATATATATATTGAGATTATAATATAGAGATCTGCAGTGTTTTCTTTTATGTAACTTTTTGGAAGATTATTTATGGTAAAGTTACCTAATAAACTTATTTAATTCGTTAATAAGTTAAGTAAAAAGTTGACTTATATTTTATTTTTATTTTATAAATTTATAAAGTTAAAAATTCATGGATTATTAAAAAGTAACGGAATTTAAATCAACTTAAAAAATATAAATAGAATTCGGCTTTTTAATCGGTGAGAAAAATATCATACACCTATATCTTACAAAATATTGCAGAACGTCCGTGTGCATAATTATCATTTTGATAATACTATTAAAGCTCAAACAACGAATCATTAGTTGCTGCAGCAGTTATAGTTCCAAAAAATAGTAACGCATAGATAGTTATACTATATTCTAATACCCAACTAATAACTATTACAGCTTGGTATAAATATATTATACCAATAGCTACGAGTATGTACTCGTATATAAAAGTTAAATATTAATTCAGTCTGACTGTTTTAAATTTTTAGTTTTGCATGAATTTCATGTTAGCACGCATATATATGTATTATTATATAGTTACCGATAAAGCAAAAATATATTCTAAATTATATACATAATATAGTAAGTTTATGTATTGGATAACATCGTTCTTGTAAAAGGTAATAATATAAAAATCTTCGAAATCACTGTTCCTACAGCTATATTAATAAAATATCTGAAAAACAGAATAACTACTTATATATTATAATAAATAATTCCGATAGATAAACTATATATATTTGTATATAGAAACAAAAGATTGGTATATACCTATATCTAGGTATATATAATTTCAGAAATCAATCAAATCCAGCTGCGTAATCGAAATTACCTATATATGTAAGTTCAGAAAGGAAAAAATGTCATTACAGTTATTGTGAAATAAAAAAAAAAATGAAGTCGAGAGTATTTGAATGGTGCAGCTTGCAACAGTACTCGCTGAACCTACAGTGATATATATGTTCACTATGTATATAATATATATTGGTAGGTATATACAACCTGCAGTTGAACGGTGGCTCACAGATGCATCAACATCTACGATACGCCTGTATAATAATGATGCACGCACTGCAGTGAATAGATATACATCTGCAACAATCGTGGTATATATCTATCGTAGACCGTAATAGTATCTATGCCATAATATACATATAGTGCCTATTGGCTATTTTATTAGTTATTAGGTACACACTAATACAACAGTATACCATCATCACACTCATCATAATTCATAGGTAGATATATATACACATGGTGTTATAGATTAATGTATAAGTATGTACAAGCGTCATCGCAATGAATTGCGGGTGGGAGTATAAATCGTAGGGTAGAGGGTTTTTGGAAATCAATTTGGCAAGTGGATTGTTTTCGGGCGAAGACGCGTCTGTCGGTCGGACGGGCGGGGGCCTTAGGTGTTCGGCACGATAATGTCGCGATAATGTATCCATTTACGTCGGCGCGCGCGGCGGCGAGACGATGACAGCGACGGACGACGACCGACGATGGCGCGGTCTTTCGGCGGCGGCGGCCCCACCGACGCGACACGACAATCGGTAACGCGCGCGCACGAACGCACACGAACGGCCGTGCGAGAGAGAGTACATGCCGTTGCCGTGGCTACTGCGTTTGCCGCCGGGGCGCCCCGCAGTCAGCTGACCCGGGACCGTCCCCGGATGGGTGGGGCGTCGCCGCGCGCTCGGGCCCAACCGGCACGGCCTGGGCGTGCACGTGCAAACGGCGGCGGGGGAAACGCCACGGCGCGCGTCCCGCGGTCCCCGCCGTGCGGTGCGTCTCGCTCGCGCCGGTCATGGTCTCTCGCTCGCGCCCTCCATCCCCGCCACCGACGTACGGCCGTGCCGCCGGAACGCCACCTCGCGCGCGCCGGCAGCCGCTCTCTGCGGACCTTCGCCGCCGATCAGTCCGTATACGTACTGCGCGCCGGTCGCTATGTGAACGGTTCACGCGCGTGTGTGTGACTTGTGTGATTTTTTTTTCTCTCTCAGAACGCTACGACCGTCACCGAACATTACCACCGTGCACCTATGATACTACTCGTCGTTGGTACAATATTTATTCGTTTGCAAAGCATGTACAATACGATCGTAATTTAATTGTTCGTTTACCGTCGTTTTTAATTTTTGGTTTTTTTTTTTTTTTTGTTCCGTTTTAAGTTTATTCCGCTTTTTGCGAATTTTTTTGCTCGTGAGTTACCGAGTTACAGCGCGACGCGTCGCGATAAAAATAATAATTTTAGTTAAATAAAAAAAAAAATCGCTTGTCGTCGAGGACGTCGTTGTCACACGGACAAAGTGCGCGCGCGCCGCGCGTACCCACCGCACTAGCGTGCGGTGCAACAGTGAATATTTTATTTTCTCTATAGACCGGTGCACAAAAATCGTTCGCAATTACGGACCTAACGATTTACCCGCGCAGTGTTCGGGGCGCGTCGGTTGAATGTGATTGGAAAGCGCGGGTGATGGCCACCACGTACCTGCCGGTGGGCAGCGGTGGCGGCGGCGGTGGTGGCGGCGGAGGCCCTGGCTCCGGTGACCTAGACGGCATGGGAGGCATGTCGGTGGTCAACCAGCCAGGCGGCCCGTACCAGCAGCCGTCGCCCTCGCCGCGTGGCGGTAACGGTCAAGACCACCCCGCCGGTGAACTGAAATACATGCCACCCGGGCAACACCACCATCACCACCACCATCACCACCAAGTTCCTACGTCCCCTTCACCAGTGTCGCTGTCGGCCGCGGCCAGTTGGGTGGACCCGTGGGCCGCGTCCATGAGCATGCACCAACACCATCCGCACCATCCACACCACCCGCATCAGGGACTGGACATCAAACCGCCGCCAGACATGCGAGCCGTGACCGGCGGTGGCGGTGGTGGCGGCGGTGGCGGCGGCGGAGGCGGCGGAGGCGCGCAGACCTGGCACACGGGACCGCCGCCGCCTGTCGTTTCGGCCGGCCACTACAACGGCAGCGGGTCAGGGTCGCCGCAACTCGGCCACCACGGCGCGTACCACGTGATGAACGGTATGCTGGGTCACACGCACCCGGCCGTCCAGATGCACGGTCACAGCCCGTCTTACCCGCAACAACACGACCCGCAATCGCCCGGAGGCGAGGAGGACGCGCCTACGTCCGACGACCTCGAGGCGTTTGCCAAGCAGTTCAAGCAGCGCCGGATCAAGCTTGGCTTCACGCAGGCGGACGTGGGCCTGGCGTTGGGCACGCTCTACGGAAACGTGTTCTCGCAGACCACCATATGCAGGTTCGAGGCGTTGCAGTTGTCGTTCAAAAACATGTGCAAGCTCAAGCCGCTCCTGCAAAAGTGGCTAGAGGAAGCCGACTCGACGACGGGCTCGCCGACCAGCATCGACAAGATCGCAGCGCAGGGCCGCAAGCGCAAGAAGCGCACTAGCATCGAGGTGTCCGTCAAGGGGGCCCTGGAGCAGCACTTCCACAAGCAGCCCAAGCCGTCTGCGCAAGAGATCACGTCGCTGGCCGACTCGTTACAGCTCGAAAAGGAGGTAGTGCGCGTGTGGTTCTGCAACCGGCGGCAAAAAGAAAAGCGCATGACGCCGCCAAACACTATGGGTGGCCCGCAAGACGGCAGTGGCATGATGGACGGTGGCCTGGGTGGCGGAGGTGGCGGGCCCATGGGCCACGGAGGTCTGCACCAGGCCTATCACCACCAGGACCACGTGATGCACGGCTCACCGATGGGACCGCACTCGCACTCGCACAGTCCGCCGATGCTGTCGCCGATCGGCAACCATCAGTCGCTTGCGGCTCATTAACGTTTCGCCCAGTGGGACGTTGAGTACTCACGGCACCTGGCTAAGATGCAGCAACATCAGCAGCAGCACCAGGAATGCACGTAGTAGAGTACTGTTGTTTACTGTTTCGAACAACGTCTCGCTGAGGGCGATATAAAAAATATATATACGTGTACATCGCATCGCAGCAGTACATGCAGCATGCGTGTGCGAGTGTGCGTGATCTTCTCGGCGTATAATAATTTACTACGTTATATTTTGGAGATGATCACGTGACCGCGCGCGCGAGTTCAGCGCTGTGTGTTGCACCGCGATGACATTTATTATATTACCAATTCGACTATACATAAATATATATAAATATAAATATAAACTTACAAACGCGGAACATATATACTGATGATTATATAAATGATATTTCTGTATTATAATACAAGAGAAACGCTCGCCGTAAACTGCACAAATCGCGGCCGAAGCGAATAACAACTTTATAATATGATATATGAAAATATGTTTTCCGTAAACATTATTATAATAATAATTATTATTAATTTTTCCAATCGTTATTAAATATATAATTTATGTGTATATTAATGTTTATTATATACGCGTACGGTATAACGATAAAACGATGTCGATGATAATAATAATCAATAATCATGATGAAGATGATGAAGATGATGATGATGATGATGATGATAACGAAGACCATCGATCGGCACCTATATCTATCCTGCACATAATGTTATTTATACAGACAGCGAGAAGGCTTAACGACCGAACGGGAAATCGTGTGCGGATGACATCATTGCGGCAAGTACGAAAAGTTGACCGCGACAAGTATACGAGAAATCACCGCGGCGAGCACAAGAGTCATCGCAGCGGTGGACGAGAAGTTATCGCGGCAAGTAAAGGATGGACGTAATCGACTCTTCTATCGCACTGTGATATAAATCGATATTTCTTTATTTTTTTTTTTTTATTTTCCGTTTTAATTATCTCCCCCGGACAAGTATAACTTTGCAGACATGTACACACACATTATATACACCCACACATGCGTTCCAGGTACTGATTACTATATTTATAATATAATATTTATATCTGTTTTATTTATTATACGCGAGGGCACGTAACTCCTACTATTTCAATATATTCGAACCGCGGTCAGAGTTTATAAATATTTTTGAGAGCATAATAATATAAACCTTTTCTAGATTTTTCAAAAGTTTCTACATAATACCGTAGGCACCCTCCAAACGCGCGAGGTACTATAGTCACGACACCCCACTGCATTGAATAATAACCGATCTCACGCGTGTATTCTTATAAAATGAACGATAAATGATAAACACGAAATAAAAATTTAAAAAACCTTTAAACGATATTTTTGTACTGTTTCGTGAATTAGATATTTCGTCGTTCTTCCTACGTTCCTCGCAGACTCTAGTTGCACAGTTTACCAGCTTAAAACACTTGTTATTCGCGTGTATTTCTATTATATTATAATAAACACGTGAGCGTAATAAATATACTTATATGGTATAGGGTCTCCCAAAAGTAGATATGTAATGGGGTAGCTTGTGTACTTGTAAAATCTCTTTGGTCCATCTGCCAGCGCGTCTCGTACCGCGACAATGTACCTGCACACCACATGCACATTATACGAAATATAAATAAAATATTATATTATATATTATTATTATATACGTCTAACTATATATACGATGTATATACCTACAATAATTTACAAAAACCGGTTCGTTTCGAACGATTCATAATTTTTGTCCATATTTTTTTTCTCCCGCACGTCTTCCTCGCACTCTCGCTCACTCCTTTTTATTCGTGATTTATGTGACGGATGAAAAAAAAAAAAAATAACCAAAAAAGGTAATAATAAAATTACCCCGAAAATATAATAATAATAATAATAATAATATATACATAACCCAGCCGGTAAAGTATATAATATATATGTACATGAATACGCGTACATCATACCCGCCGACATATATTTCGTGTGCATGTGTGCAAGTGCGTATAAAACGCTTTTTTCCTATACTTATTCTTCTTCTTCTTCTTCTTCATATTTTTACGATCACCCTCTAAATATATTATCGGTCCAAGTATATATACATATATAAACATATTATAAAATAGCATATTATCGGAATAAATCAACCCACCGCCACCGCTACACCGTCATTCTTACTTACCTTTATAAACAATAATAATAAATTTAAACTCTGAAACTAAATTTCTATTCTATTACATTACATATAAAAATAAAACGTATGTGTGAGTATATGTGCTGTAGCAAGGTATAATATAATAATGTATAATAAAGTGTTACAATAATATTAAACATGTATACACAGACACAAATTTGAGCGAAACGACCAAATATATTTGTATATGTTAGGTACACAGTATTTCACCAATATGTATAATATGATAACTATTTCAAACTATATATTATATTATACATTATATTTATACGGATGTATTCAGCCGCGCTTTTGTATTTTGTAACGAATTTATCGAAAAATATTATTATTACTATTATAATAAGTATATATATCTACCTATATACGTACGCGCATAATGTAATAACGTATATTATTGTGTTGTAGGTGTGTGTATATGCTGTTTATCTCATTTTTTGATTATAATTTATTATTATTATTATTACTATTATTTTTTTTTGTTATTTTTAATGATTTATTTTTAGTTTTAATAATCGCATATTTCTAAAATATAATATATATATGTATGTGTGTGTATATATTATACACACACACATATATATATATATATATATATATAATACACTCTCAAGTGTTTATCGATAAATTTAAAGCTTGTTAAACCTAGTAGAAATTTTTTTTCTTTTAAAAAACACTCAATTAGTCGTTAATTTGAACATAATATGATTGATATATAATATACATTTTTATATATATTATATTATTATTATTATTTTTATTATTTATTTTTAAAAAGAAAAGACGGGAAAATTATATTCGTAATATAAAATACACGCATACATGTATACATTTAGCCGATAACAAAAAAAAGTAAATTAAGGTACAAGATCTTTTTTGTAAATACGAAAATAGATGTGTAAATAAAACTGTGTAGTTAGATGAATATATTATCATTCACGAAATATATAGAGAAAATAATAAAATACACTCTTGGAACGTGTAATTTTTGTTTGTTCGTATATATAATATTATGTTTTTAATAAAAAATAAATTTAAAAAAAAAACAATTGTGGAATTAAGTCAAAAAAACATTAACTGTTGATGTTTTTTTTTTATTTATTAAATTTATATGTGTTGTATAAAAAAAAAATGGGATATAAAAACGATTTGAAATAAAAATTTGAAAACAGAAAAATTAAAAGAATTTTTTGTCAAAAGTTGTGCTTATATTTTATATATATGTATATATGAATTGCATTCATGCTTAAAGTTATACATTATAATATGTAATATTATACCTATATATAATGTACTCATTGATGTCATTTCATCACTGAATGGTGTTAAAAAATAATTTTATCTTATACTTATGGTTATTTAAATAAATACGATGAGCTACCTATAAATAAATTGATACGTAATACGTGTAAGTGTGCATAAATATGCGATGCAAGTACGATATAAGCAATAATACAATATAATATACATTGTAATACGGCCAATTAGGACGTAAACGACTTGCTAGTAGCGTGGACCAACAATGACAAAGCACGATCATTATTGATCAATTGATCGTGATAATACTGCACAGTATTATCGGTCTCGAATTTGGTCGGACGGGTTTGTCTAAACTATTGTAGCAGCAGTAGCAGCAGTGATGTTAATGTTCCATCGACGTACTAAGGGTTGTTACATACCAAAGCAGGCTTAGCCTCCTTCCACTTTTATCGGTTGGTTTTTTATTTTATTTTACTATATATTTTGTAATACGTTTTATTTGAATCTATCGTTATCATCCTATATTATATTTGAAACGAATATTATAAGATTTAAAGGATATAAATGGGGTTTTTCCTTAAAACAATTCGTCTATACAATAATTTGTCTATTGTTGTACATAAAAAGGATTAAGGACTATAGTGACAACACTAAATTATACTATTATTAATATACTTAATAATAATAAAACTATAAACTTTCATAAAACGGTTAATTATGATGAAATGATTCTATTTAGTATCACGATGTAACCCTTTCCTCCTCCTTATTTATCAACAAGCTATTACATATATTATAGTGTCTACAATGATTGTTTGGAACTCCTCTCCCTACTTCCAAACCATCACATCCTGAGTCTGCCAATATGCGCATATGTACCTATATTCGATAATCGTTAGTTATAGGTACTCTAACCTGAATATCTGACTTATTATACGCATATTGCAGAGAAATTGTAATTTGTATAATATTATATAGGTAGTGATGGTGTAAATATGACTTACATATTGTGATGTATAACACGGAAAATCTGTTTTCTTAACCACCCAAACAAAACTAGCATTGCGACTATGAAAACAACATACATTTTTCAAGACGGTATAGAAAATATATTATTACCTATTCATTATTTTGACTATTTGCAAATTATCAATGCTTATAGTATAATCATATTACGATTATCTCTTTGATAATAATGACGTATTATACGCATATAAATAAAATAATTTTATAAATATTCTACTGTTATCGCGATTACACAACGATAATTGTTTTGAATTTTCCTCACACCTAAACCGAATATACACATGATTATTTTTAATCGATGTATACATTTTGCCATTTTGGTGACGTCTGTTCGGTTTGCGCGCACCTATAACCGCAATGCTGTATTATTATAAAAGTCGTATGCTATAGTCTTGATAGATCCCCCTACGCGCGTTGCAGCTGTCACTCTTACCGATTTATCATTGTACACCGATCGATCGCTTGATACACATATTATATTAATATTATATTATCAGTAAACATTTTAAAGTCGAAATTTAGTCCGTTTAAAGGTTCTTTTTTTGATCGATAGTCGTATCGTGGCGTTTATATCATAATAGGTACGATTTAACATTCCCACATATTATTGTTGTATTTTATATTGCAGTGATTGCACACACTCACAAAATTATTTTATATAATATATAACAGATACCTACGTCGTACCATTTACGATCATTGTATATAATGCATGATGACACGTCGTCATTAACGGCACGTTTTCGTCACATGTCTCCATCACTATAACATAAATAAAATATATTAAGATTGTGGTTTTGATGCGTAAGCCGAAGATTCCGATCGATCCCTAGGTCGTATTTATGATAATATTATTGTATACTACTATAGGTACATCATGTGTGGGAGGGACGCATCGCACTTGTGCAGCTGATCCGTTTATAAAGGTACATACGTGATGGCAACGACGGGCCGTTTTACAAAAGTGTA